ATTCAAGTGTTCGTGAGACAATGAGTCACATTTGATTGTCTGTTCAGTTTATAGATTAGAAGTGGAATTAAGTGACATCTCGCCAGGCTATTCAAATACATTAGAATAAATGTGCCCAAATAGTATCTCGCTCATAATCCTGTCTTTTGAGTGACTTGGAAACATGTCATTTAAAGTCAATCTAATCGAGCATACAGGTGCACGTGGGAGCCTAATTCAATATTCGAATTCTTTTGGTCGTTCTCATTTAGCTGACGGTGTCTAATTGCTGTATGGCTGGGTCTACTTGGTGAATATACGAAGTAACTACGTTGTGGGTTTGCATACCGCTAATATTACAAATACTACTCTCTACCTACCTGGTTGTATGAATTTTATTTATTGTGATAATATGGCATTACTACTACAATCTCTCTTCTTCTTGATGGATCCTGCGTACAAGTTGTAGTTAGTACTTGGTGTGGAAATTACTTCTTAATTCAATTACACAACAATACACTAACTGATATCGGTTTGTGATGAAATATACACTGCACTTTATTAACAAAAAATAAGAGAGGAGAGTGCGAAAATAGGGTCAGACTAAAAATGAAGATAAGGGCTAGTGTGTTCAAACGATTTACAGATATGCAGGAAAATAAACGTTCTAGTAAATCCATCATAAGCTTGACCGTTATTCTGATGTCAGTCACGAAGCCTACATCTCAGCACACTAAGCCATTTATGAATAATTTGCATGTGTCTGGTTAAAACTTAAAAATGACATTTTTTAAATGTGAGTTTCGTTCATTATCAGCGTTTCTGTATATCTGGTGTTCAGTTTCTTGAGAAACTTATGTAATATCTAATAGGTCGGACTTTCAAAATACTCCCCATAAATGGTGTAGATGGTTGAAAGTGATTAGTGGAAGGTCAGTTTATCCCAAGTTTCTATTCACTTCTGTTTGTTATTAAAGCGAGCATGTCTTTCTACAGAGAGACACATTGGATCTGAAATACTAGGACCTCAATGGCATAAGTAAGGAAACTGACAGTATATTATCGAGTCCATTGAAATTGTTGGGAACTGGGATCACGTATTAATGGTAAAGTTGAAAATAAGTGTTTAGTTACAATAGTAAATATTCAGTAAGAATGCACATGCAGCTACATGAATTATTTATAGAAATAATTAGTCAGGGTTAAGTGAGGCGCACAATAAGGTTGAGCAAATTGACCAATTTAACGACTTCAGGATTATTTATTTCTCTGAAGTAAATTAACATGCCTGAATTTGTTTAGTCTGTTTTAATGAACCAACAGATTCCAAGCGAACGTGATCTATTACTCCATGTGACATGTTTCCATCTTCATCGGATGGCTGAATTTGTAGTGGCGCACAATTAGCGGGAAGAATTGTGTGTCTTTCGAAGGCTTGTTCAACCAATCATTGTTTACCGGACTCCTCATATGGTAACTGATACTTATAGGCATTTTTCTGTTTCTCTCAATTGACAAAAGGACAGGATAAATTCGGAGACTCAGTGACATTCAGGTTTCTTGATAAGCATGTCAAATGTATGAAATTAAGCTATAAAAATCCAATTTATCTTGTACAAAGTGAAAATATATAAGTTGTAGCTTGTTGAAGAACAATCAAAATAGTTTGAGTTCAAATTCAAATTCCCTTGTATAGTGTTAATATTCGATATGATTTCCGACTCATCGTAGATGTTATCTGTAACTGAATGAAAATCAAGATAAACTTGTCCAAGAATTGAAAACATTTATTTCCCGCTACGAATTTAAAACAAGCAATAAAGGTTAACAGAGCAGGATTTAATGAATTCATCAAATTTCGGTAGAACTCGTCAGCTGAATACTCTACATACGCGGATATATACTTTTGAAATTACATTGGGAGATATAGGACTGAATACTTTACATACACGGATATATATACTTTCGAAATTACATTGGGAAATATAGGACTGATAAGTAAATAAATAAACTACATTGAATTTGTCATGCAGAAAGACAGGTGCGAATGTTTTTCCAGGTCATGTTCAATTAGATAAGGGGAGAGAGAGTATGGGAGATCAAAATTAAGATAAATTGCATTACGCTTCATTTACATCACTTAGATAAACAATAAGACATTAGAGAATTTAACAAGAATTGCAACCAGAGGGATGTCAATAGTAATAGTTATAATAACAATAATAATAATAGTGTTGAAGTGAGTTAAGATAATGCTACTGATAAAGGATAGTTTTAAATGAATCAAGAATAATAATAATAATAATAATGAGAATAATAATAGTAATAATAAAAATAATAATAAGAGGTAGAATTATAAGTAAAACGTATTACCATGGTAGATTCAGAGTCACGACCATCCCCTTTTGTACACGGAGACCTGGTTTATAAACTCGAATTGCACAAGCCTCTGCAATTGCAAGCATCTTCTTGTTTCTTTGTCTGCTGACAATGGTGAATGACTTGACCTGGAAAAACATTCGCACCTGTCTTTCTGCATGACAAATTCAATTTAGTTAATTTATTTACTTATCAGTCCTATATCTCCCAATGTAATTTCAAAAGTATATATCCGCGTATGTAGAGTATTCAGCTGACGAGTTCTACCGAAATTTGATGAATTCATTAAATCCTGCTTTATTAACCTTTGTTGCTTGTTTTATAAACTTGTCCAGCTGTCAAGATAGTAACCACAAGAATAAGAAGAACTCTTCCATCAGATGGAACAAATACACGGTTAGGAGAAAAAATCGTGAGGTCAATGAGGAGCCCGATGCTAGCACACTTAGTGAATACGCAGTACAAGATTGATAGAAATTGAATCTTAACAATTTTATTCAAGGTCTCCTCTTAGTTCTTAAGGCTTGTACGCCTTCGATGGCTAAGCATAACTCAGGTAGTCTCTTTCAAAAAGTTTCAGCACAATACACATTTCACTCTAATTCATGAGTCGGTTTTGGATACTGTATTATCAGATGAAATGTGACAGGAGAAATGACAAGGATTCTTACAATAGTAGCTTGGTTTAATCTGGGTCGTATGCACTGATTGATTTCTAGGCTAGCAAACTTTCTCTCAATATTTAGAGTCAAGTCTACTGCATTAATTCCCTATGCTTTCTAATCAATTCCCTACATTTATTTGTCTCCAAGCTATCTTCCATTGTAAACCATTCGCCTTCAGTTTAAACCAGATTAGGTAACTGTGTAAGATAGAAATTTGTCCGTCGACGACCAGAATTTATGTTTCCGCGATACGGCTAGTTGACTGATCTTCACCGATTATCGCATTCATTTTGTCAAATTTCCATCAATTGTCCATGATATCAGCCTGAGAAGATTTTCGAAATTCTTAAAAGTGAAGTAAGTGTGTGCGTAGAGCTCCTCTATTAAATCTGACCAAATGTTTCTGGAACTAATTCATGTACCTGTATTAGACGATTTCAGAAACTGATTGTATGTATGCTTGACGAATATTTACCATTGTGTAACTGGACACTGATTTTAGATTGTCTTGATATATATTGCGCCGCTGGTTGGTCCGTGTACTTTCGAAATTCAGCTTTGCTATTAATACAGTTTCTCAAGTCCTTACATGTAGCTTTCTAATATAACGTTGTCTGTATTTAGTCGGACACAGCGTTTAGTACATTAAAAATAGTGAAGACTTAGTTGGATTTTAGTACACAGGTTGCAGTCAGATCCTAGCGCTCAACAGGTCTATAGGAACTTGACTGGTTTCGTTATAAATGAAAATCAACTGGATGAAGAATAGAACACAAAGACCAATGGACACTTATCTCTTCCTAGCTTGAAAACCTTCAATGGTTTGAACTTACGACCTTAAGTGGAATGTATGCAGTCCGGGACTATGAGATTACAATGTGAACACACGTAGTTCAATTGGAATCTGGATGTTCATGATTGACAATGTTTTCAATTCCCAACATAGCACCAATGGTATCTAATTTTACCAGTGAGTAACTATCCACACACTAGACTTTATGTTAGTGACTGTTGCACACCAAAAAGTGTTTCTGAGATTATATGGTTCAGTAAGTGAATAGTTCACTATTATCCGTTCTTCATTATCACCAGACTTCCTGACTATCTAGGTCCTCCCCCACAATTTATCCAAATCAAGTTACAACACAGAGGACAAAATAACTGATTTATTATTTGTAAGGCTCCGGAAATGTGTTTGTTTAATAGACTGGTTCTGAGTTATAATTGGGTGGTGGTTGAAGTCATAACGTAAACACAGTCTTTTTTTCTGTTCACATCAAAACTCGGGTTTCTCTTTTCATCTTCAAGCAACACCTCACGAAATTAAGTAACTGCCACCAAAAGATGGGAATCCCTGAGAAGAAGCGTCCAGTTACTGTTGGGAGGACGATTGACTGTAGCTCTTTTGTCGTCATCAAAGAAACACTGAATTGAACAGAAACGATGGTGTCATTGTACAACGCAAATGGGGAATGCAAACTGATAATCACTTGTAACCCTGAAGCAACTCATTTGAGGTAATCAATCACTGCGCAAATAGTGAACAACCGCCCTTAACAGTTGTGATATCCACCGAGAAATGCTCGAACCATTCAGATTAACCACCATCTTGGCCAAATAAATTATTGGAATTCACACTGCCACAGAAGACAAGCATTTCTGAAATCCCCTGCTCAAGAGTACAGACAACTAGCTTCGAAATTACACCTTCTTTACTCTTACTCACAACACGCACGTTAGTGGATTTATCAATGCCACGTGTTGACACTGCCTCATCAACCGATTCTTTGTCAACACAGCAGGGACGCAGAGGTCAGAACACCTCTAATGCAGCCACAGTCAGTCACCTCTTCCCAGAAAACACGTCCGAATCAACCATCGAATTGTGAAGTGTTCAAGGTTTCTTAGCAGTATTACGTTGATGCTGTATCACTGTAGCCCTAACTAACTACAGTTAACTCGAAGAGAGAAGATGGATTCAAAAGGAAATACAATTTATATGAAAATAACAAAATCTGTTTATAAGTAAAACATGCCGTCAACTTGACTGCTGTGAACTTTGAAACGACCAGCATCTAACAGAATCTCTGGTTTCTCTATGTCCGATAACCACTCACGTGCCCGAAATGCAGCCAAATGAGAATAATAAGTCGGCGCTGGATACGAGACACTACGGGAACACCTCATGTACGCGTAGCATAAGTGGTAGGTGAACATCTGCAGAGCATTCGATGTCCAGTTACTATCATCATACAAAACGTGATAGTGAGCAGGTTTCGATGTACCCTAAAAGAAATGGTATTAACACAAGGAAACAATTTACCTGAATCCCTTCCTGAGAGCAGAGGTAGAAATCGAATTCCCTGGGATGCGTGATATCTGTGTCAACCACCATTCCTGGCTCCACGTTTCTTGCCCTAGCAAAGCATTCAAACAGACCGTTAAGACACGAATAAGGTGTAGTAGGTACACAGGAAACATCATGAGCGAATACCTTACCTGGGGTCAGATGGTCTAAACCGAATATGGTGACGCTTTTGCACAACAATATAAGTGATAGCAGGCTCTTCACCAGGACGAATATCTGCGCAGGCTCTTTGAATTGCAGATAACTCCTCCACCAACACATTTTCGAACTGGCCCTCCGAAACTCCATCCCGATAGAATATCATACGCGTCGGGAAACGCCCGTTCGTGTTACGCAGGTAAAGCTACAACAAAACACAAATAATAATAAGGAAGAACGAAAGCGTACAACGGGAAGAAGGGGAACGTGAGTCAGTAGAGTCGGTCATTGATGAAAACTAACCTGGAGAAGCTCACTGACAATCAGACGCATGTCGTCGATTATTTCCCTAGCTGACTTATTGCCTTTTTCTGTGGTTGCCTGTTGACGGATAACTACCCCGTATCTCATCAGATCGGGTGAAACGCTACCAATAACAGCAGCTACTGACTTCCGAATTTCATGAGTTTGTGTAGGCGCCGGATGAGTGACGTCGGCTCCGAAAACCATAAGCAACTCTTGACTGTCCTTAATCAGATCAGGAATTTGCCAGTTCACACCGCCGAGTTTCCCATTCAGTTTGAGCAACAGGTTCGCTGAAAGCAGAAAACCGAATTAAACTCATCGAAATACAGAAACACACTGAAAGCTACATGTGAACAACACTAATTACTTACGGAAAACGTTCGGTTTGTCCAGAGTACGACCTCGTACACATTGGGTCCGAATGCCCATTTGTAGATCACTCAGACGTTTAATGGATGAGTAGCACTTTTCATCGTACAGGATGAGAAGCAAGAAGCGACATCCTTGTCTGGAAAACTCCTCGAACCTCCTGTGAAGTTCTCCTCTCGGACACTGCGCCACAATCGGTCGAGGGCTAAACCGAACACCAAAGCGACTGGCCGCTCTAGGCAATTCTGATATCACCTTCTGTACATGACCATGAGACCGCTAGGAAGAAAACATGGCAAGGGGAGGAAGCAGTCAGTTCTCGCGTTTACATTTGACAATAGTAATAACATGAAAGGTTCTTCCAAATGTATTGCGCAAATACACACTTTTCAGGTAATCTCCGTCTTCTAAAAACACTATCCAAATTTAAACAGCGACTAACTGTTTTCAACGATAACATATGCCTTTCGACAACAGTTCAGAATTAAGTGCACACTTCTCAGGCTACTCTACTCATCTGACAACATTTCATTCACTGCATTAAAAGGCAGACAAAACCTCAGCTTCGTATACAGAGCATTAAACACTGGCAAATAAAAGATATTGATATTGCCACCGACGTAATGCAGTGAACAATGAAGTAAATGGGCTTTCATGAAACTAGGCGAGGTACCCTTCCATGTTGACACAATCGACAAATGACCAAGTCATTTTAGTGCCCAAGTGATTGCACAACTCATCCTCGTTACAGCACTAATCTTATGTTGAACCAGAGTAGAAAACATACCTGATCAGGCGGAATGCTAAGTACAGCCCACATTAATTCTACTCCTCCGCCGGCAGGGTGAAGAAAGCCAGGCGTGCTCCATTTACCTGCCGTCAGCTGTTGCACACCAGAACGACCAAAACCAGCAGTTGGCGGTTGGATAACACGTGCGTTAACTTCCACTGGCCTCGGCTGAATCGTCAGACCAAATTGTTTGATCAGTGGGTGGGACCTTGGAGGAAATGGAACAAATCTTAAAATGTCAAAAGAAACCCTCATAATTACAAAACAATGAATTGAGTAAATCATAAAATTTGGCTCCAGACTTGCAAACAATGAAGTCCTCTGCACTGTCACACGGTCAACAAACACTACTCTAATTTTGTCGTGCTCGACTCGTCGCAGGTCTGTGCAATTATATAACTCGTGACCCATTATAACCAACTAGACACCGCCACATTCTGCGTCCTTGTCAAATCTATGTATAAGACAGTGTATGTCGTATCTGCTTGCATACCTGGAAAACAAACAATTAACTCTGTAGGTAGGCGTTACGCCAAGTATCCCCGGCACTTATCCAGAAGGACTGCGGTATTTACCTCACGTTTATTCAAACTTCAAAATTACGGCTGACACTACGAATATCAGATTTCTGTCATCAAGACGTTCGCAAAGCGCTCATCTAATAATATCTGTGAGAAGTTTACGCATTGTGGAATAAATCAATTAAGTGTAATTGTATTTCAATCCCAATTTCGCTAGAAATCAAAAGCTTATCACTGCGTAAACAACCATTGAAATACAATTATAACTTATCATTCGTCTAGTAGTATGCTTCCGTTCTCACCTTCAACTTGTCTTTATACAGGAATATAATGAAGACTAGAATTTCCAGTCATGGGAAGACTGAGTTGGCTTGTACTTGGAAGCGCCTACCGATCCATAGCTTATCGACTACAACTTGAAGTAGCATTATCTTGAGCACTTCTCCGTCCATTCTGGAGGACTCTTCCATTGACATCACCAATGATTCTATAGAAGCTAAGTGTGATATTTCGGAAATCCCCAAAAGTATCCAAGGTTTGCATTGTAACCTACTACTTATTCTACTTTCTCACCATCCTTTGAATGCGCTACAACAGTGAGTGTCGAGCTATAAGCTTCATGGAATGCCGAAGAAATCATTCATCGGAAACTCGTCTTTCTCAAAATGCTTCCCCTCAACTCTTGCATCAATAGGCAACATTACACTTTAGTACTGACCGGCAGTACCAACTCATAAATAAAACTCTTACTTCAGCATATTATTAGCAAAATTTTCCAGCTCTCTAAAGCGCTCCTGTGGTCGAATTGCTGCACAACGGATAACTTCACTCGCAACATCGGCTTTACTCACATTAGGAGCTTGATATGGCAAAATGTTTAACAGTTCCATCGGCACATACACTTCACGCTTTTGATCAACCTACAAAATAATCACTGAAATGAAAATTTACCTTGACACACGGCAGCTCTGGATACTTCAGAGTAATATGATGGTGCTCCTTGAAGTATTCAGCCACGGACTGCTTCAACTCCTCAATCATCAAACGATCGGCTGGTTGTGAGGATATCCCGTGCACGGTGAAGCGTCGGGAATATGCACGTCCTAAAATGTATGAGGTATAACAGAAAGCATGCATACCATCATCGCTCCTGTAGAATTTATCAGTCTCAACTCGTATCTTTCTCAAGTCGTATGCCATTTGAGTGCTACATCTAGCCATGTTGTCTCCGTACTTCGAGTACATGACGTCCGCTAGATTCCCAGATACAAAGTAGGCCTTGCACGTCTGTGATTATGTAAAGAAAAAGGTGTACCACTACTTACCATGTCCAAGTTCACACGAACTTTCCACTGGGGCCTCACACTACTAATGAAACCCTTATGAATAGCGAAGAGCTTATCTGCAACCACTTTTATTGGTGTCCCCTGAAATAGGGCTGCGCGTCCAAGGGATACAAACGACTGCTTTGACACCGTCTTCAAGATGCAATCTAACAATCTGATACATTCCTAGAGACAAATCTGAAACATATCCAGACTTACTTGAGGCATATTCATTGAGGTCGCTTTCGGACTCGTTATGAAATGACTGATATCAGAAGTAGACACCTTCTGCACTTCCATAATCCGGTACTTGAGAAGGAGGCGGTCCCGACCAAACGGCTCTTTGATTTCAATCTCTCTTTCGACGGGGTCCGTTGTGACACCAGGTAACGGATCTTCAGAGTATATGGCGTGACCGCCATCATATATAATCGTATCTGGTAAACTGCAGAAGCAAGTGAAATAAGCACAATTGTTTAGCATGAGGTTTATGAATAGATACCATTGCCATCAATACAAGCCATAACCAACAAATTCACCAATTCTTCCTAAACAACACTGATAGAAACCAAAGTCATGTGATGAATGGTGTGGGACATGGAACAAGTTATCCCACACGTGTACCTATCTTCGGTTGACACGCAAGCAATACTTGACCAAAAGTCAGAGAAACAATTCAGCTTAATAATTGAGGAACAGAGTTCCATTGCATATGTAAACAATCCATCTGATCAATAACACAATGGTACTTACGAGTCTGCTACCTGCTGAATTAAAGATCTCAACTCTTTTGGTGGCATTCTTATCTCAGTTTTACTGCCCTCCTTAGCTTCCAATCGGTGAACTGAGTTTGCTTCCACAAAATAAAGATATACCGTTTTGTGATGAAAAGTTAAATCCCAACAGTTTGAAGTGACTTTGACTTTCTTGCCAATTGTACCTCCTTGGTCTGGTCTATTCGGCATTCTAAGTGTCTTCTGCATGTTTAGTCTGAAAAATAAGTCAATTCAGGAGCGTTAACGAAGGAAGCAATGAAGACAAATACTGTCAGAGTTTATTTAACATCAACTTACTTCGAAATTCCCGTAGACATGTCAAATCTGAAACAAAGAAACGAAGGCTAGTTAGGCATTAGGACAAAACATGTCGTGTTATCTGAAGAAACAACAGGAATAGTACTCACATAGCTTCTTGAAGTGGATGGCTCTTTTTCTGGCGAGCAGCTTCCGAGGCAAATTCGCCCTCCGAAGACGACGGAATATCACCCCGTTCGCAAGGTGCATTGAAACTCCATACAGAACCAGACGAACTATTACAAGTTATTGTCAGCAGTCATAAACTTACGCTGAATGACCTCTTTCAGCAGGCTTCTTCAACGGTCCTGAAATGTTGACGCGTGACCTGAAGGGTGAAGAACAACATCTTAGTAGTTATGCAGTCCACGAATACGAACAGTGCTACTCTCTCATTTGTGGAGGCTGACTGAAAAATCAATCTGACAATGTTATGGAAGATAACAGCGGACTACGTAATACGTATCCGAACACAACAGACACAAACTACTTCTCGCCAACTCCTCATTCATGAAACAACTGCCAACCATCGTAGCTAAATGCACAGGACAAAATTCATGACTTCTACACTTCGCAATGTGAAATCAGAGGTCGAATTGACAATAATCAGGTGTCTCATAGTTTCACCTACTCTCATCTCATGTGTGGAATTGCGGCTGACAATTTTGAACTACAACTCACCAACGACAGTCATTGCGTGGGAATGGCGACTAAGAGAATCGAACAAACGAGCAAAATGAATCAATCAATGGCGGACATATTTACTTGCTGTTTTGTCTGGTAGAGGTAATACAATCATTATTCCACTGCAATTCAGACTAGTTAAATTGAAGCGAAGTGCAATGTAATAACTGGTGGTCTAGACCACAAAGTATGTATGTCTTACCATGGTTCTTGGGATAGTAGGAACCACACCTACCATAGTCATACAGACAACACACTCACTCTTCATCCTTCATGTTAGCCACATCTCATCAGTCTTCGTTCCAAACAGATTCCAAACAGGAACTCCTGTCAAGCTGTAGTTAACGTGCACGATCAGCACCAAAACACATCACAAGTGGACCCCGACTACTCAGTGTGTTTAGACAGCTCAATTTCGGTCAAACAAGCTTGATGCACCAAAGTTCAGATGAATTTCCGAGTCACCACTCTGCGGTAAAGCCGTTCAGTCTTTGGGATATCTTAGTTACACTGCTTCCAAGCTGGAATTGAAACCACACTTGGAAGACACTAGTGAGCTATGCGCTAAAATACTTCTACGCAGTTATACGGATAATGTTAATAGCGAGAAACAATATAAATCAATCCACACTCACCCATTTCCAGAGGGCCTGTCTGACCCATTACGGTCTCCCCGACCACCAGGTCCTCCACGTCCACGCGGATGTCCATGAAGCCCTCTACAAAACACAACCAAGTAATTCAGTAGTGCTTAAATGACCGTCATAAAAATTGTAGTATGCAATTTTATTCACTCAGCATTGAATATGACCTGTGAGTATATGTCGATGAATTAGCTGTTCCATCAGTTGTCGTCCGACATAACGGCATACTGACGAGAAATACCTCCAATATCTACAACCCATGATACCACTCCGGACAAAGTTTGACAGTTACATGAAGCAGCAGAATGCCAACCAGGAGGTTGCACCATTGAAGAAATCCATTCATCTCTTAGACGGCGCTCAGGAAATTACCGTAGCAACTCAGTGTACACGAGACACAACTAACCACTGCACACTAGTCACAGCTAACGATCCCTTTGCTGGTTTGCAGCGTGAACCAGTTCTTGGTATTCTAACCTAAGCTACTCGAAGACTAACAAATCGTTCTCCTAATTACTGTGACTGTCTCAACTGCGCCACGACACACTTTATTCCGTTGGACAACAATTGGCTGACAACTCCAAGCAAACATCATACTGTCAGAATCCCTAAGTCGACTAACACACTCACAAGAGACATCTGAAAGCCTGTAAACTAACAGACAACCTCACCTATCTGACATGCCGACAAGAACTACTACAATAGTAAGCGCACTCCACAACTAATGTTCGATGTCAGACGTGCGATGGCTTGACTAAACAAAATTAAGCATCCAATTTCCAATACTTTTCAACCTTTTGTATGGACTTTGAGATTTCGAGTTTCTTGGATTTATTTGACTATCTCATGATGAATTTTCTGCTTAATTACGTGTTAGGTTACGTTCCAGGTTAGTGAATTCAAGAAATGTGTTGCGCGTATATGAAGTAGGACACTAAAATCGAGAGTACGACCGAGAATGTACTTGCAATACAGACTTCGCTTTGTGAAGGATGTAACAGACAACTAGCACATAGTAATTTCTGCGCAAATATCTTGGAGGACGTTGTTTCTAGTAGCATACTGAGAGTCAGTCTATAACCTAACTCGAGATACATACTTTATAATAATAGGGTAGCCGCAAAGCACTGCCTACGGATTTTGACAAGGTGTTTCCCGAATTAAGTCAATATTTGTATTTAGATACTTAGTGAGCCAGAATTGGAACACCTTATATTCCGTGTGAGCTACATCAAGAATTCTAAAGACGGTGTTTCGGGTGATGTTATGGTTCAGACCTGATATAAACTGTAATGAGGTTTGAAAACGTAGAACACATTGTGCCGTCCCCCTCGAAATGTAGGCACACGTCGTCGAAAAGCTTTAAAGCTTCCAATGTGTCAGCTAGTCGGTTATGCCTCTTGGGGTTGTAGGGCTTAACTTGCTCAAATTTCGCTGTCTTAATATTTGTAGAGACTTTGTATTGTAGGACTTTTAAGAATAGTGTGAAGTTCATTTTTATTCCCATTAGCCACTTTGATTCTAGTCTATCGTTACAACACCAATCGTTGTGTGGCATATCCATCCATTCATTTTACCGTTTCCGTTAACTGTTTGTCTCTTTAAGTGTACATTTGCCATGAACGATATATCCTTATTGTTACTATTACGGTTATGGTTACTGTCAGTATTATCTCACTCTTCGACAAGATTAACAAATGACTGTTGAGAAGTCTAACTCCGATTGCGACATTTCCGTTGCTCCATCACACGACGTCTGACGGCCCACACAAGATCCTGTCGCGTACGACTATTCCGCTGGACGTCTACCGAAGCAATGACAGTCAAGCATCCCAATGGATCATGCAACTACCCGCGAAAACAGGGAACGATTACCTTAACACCAAGGAATGGGCTTGAATAAGTAAAGATGGCTCCATACGATAGGAGAACAGAGAAGTTCTTGAGGTCAGTTAAGCCTCAGACCTTTCACCGCCAATGGCCAATTTGTTTATCCATGTGGACCGAAGCACAATCTGGTCAGTGTAATTCTCAAGAGACAAGAACTCAGCGGCGGCGTTGTGTTGTGATTGCGTAACGCTATGGTCTACTCCTGTCATCGCTGATAAATACACCCTTGAGCATACGTGCGAGTTATATTCTGCCTTCTCTAGTTGGAGTGGCATCAAGAGCCTGGCCACGAGGTTAGGTGGGCCAAGCCAAAGAGTTAGTAGGTAGTGTGGCTGTAGAAAAATTCAATTTGCACATGGTATTCTGATAGAGGAAGCCCGTAAATGGACTCAAATGCGAAAAGTCCATGTTTTGAAATCTTGACTGGCATGTTTCAGAATATATGAATATATAAGTAGGATGATTAGGTTACTTTCGAATATCTCATCATATATGTTATAAGGAAACATTTTGAATTTTGTATAGTCTTCTCGTTACGCGTATACAGAAATATTAGTAGGCGGCATTCCATTCACAACGATTTGTAGTGGGAATCTCCGGATACACTGATTTCAAATGCAAAATTATAAGAGTACTAAACGCGGTTAAAAGCAATATCATGCCGTGCCAGTAATCCACAGTTCTACGACAACAACAACAACAACAACGGAGGAGAGTGATTCCAAAGATCAATCCCATGTGATTGCAGATCAACAGAAAGCTGAATCTCATGACAACCACTTACTCACAAGACGAGAGTGAAAGAGGTTGCAAGAGAGGTGGCCATCCAGAATGGTGATGTCATGAACTAAATCAGTCATCATACGTCGCGGAACGGAACACCTGTATGTTGACCGTAACCAAAGAGTGTGTTTGTAACAACTTCAGAGGCATCAGAAACATGGTGACACAGCTCAGGTTCGTGTGTTCATATCGCACAACATCAATCATCATTGTGACAAAGACTTGGATGTCACCAATCACGCGTTTACCACGTTGGTGGAGAGTGAACTACATGGGTGACAGATCTGTTGGGGAAGATGTCTCGCACTATTTTCGCCGCTGTCTCATAGTCAGATCTGTCAGCAGTTACACCGGGTGATACCACAGTTAGACATTCGAAATTCCAGTTACGGGTAGTCACAACGTTAGGTTATCTAGTAATCAAAATCTTCCTCAGAAATGGGATGTTTGTACTAGTAATATTGGCGACAGAATCGCTGGTAACTGTCAGTGTCTCACTTGAATAGCGGTATTCGAGCAAATATGCAGATCTACAATACTCCATACGACCAGTTGTCTGTAATTCGGTGAGTGTTGGGGTGCACAACAACCTGGTAACCGAGTTAGATTGCTCGGGCTAAAGTATCTGGAGGTATTTTGACTCGAGTTTAGTTCTAGCAGAATAGATGGCTGCAATGTCATGTGACAAATATCATCCATTCTTATTTAATTGTTTTACAGACAAGATTGTGAATCATAACTGACTAATGACCAGTAGGCATATAGCAAACACATCAGATTGGAAAATAAGCAGATGTCATGTGACCACACATGAGAATCATTACTTTTAATCTCTCAATCATTGAGATGCTGAATATACATAGTTCAACCACATGGAATATGTTAAGGTTGTTTATCCAGTATTTTGCTAAGAATTGTGATGATGCCATTCGTCAGCATAATTTATTGTTAACTCCTCCTATTGAAATTGCCATGCCAGGCTTTTATCAAGGTCTTCCTAATTGGAGTTTCCCCTACTGCTATCTAATGGTCAATATCTGCAGACTTACTTTTCTGCTAAAATTGCCTCCATCCAAAACCAGTCAGCTTTCTCGATCCCGTCTCGTTACCATAAGCTCATAACTTTCTGAGACTCTTCATTTGCAACAGATCGAACTTTAGACAGATTACAGTTCATACGCGTGGTGAAAAGACATGCCAGAGCAAACACTGTGAGTGATGAGTTCAGTAATCCTTCCCTCTAGCCATCGGAATCGATACTATATACTATGAATTCACGTATTTAGACTGCCGACTATTCATTTCATAGTGTTGCAAGGAGTCTTTTACAAGTCAGTGATCCAGCCCATTTAACTCGATTGCTGACCTCAACAGTTTTCCCGTTAGTATTCACGCTGTCGACCACTGGTTTTGGAGGTCTTTCTACTCCTACTTAGGGTGGATTGTTGTCTATATAGCCCGGTTTTATTCCGTTAATGCTAACGCTGCATGTGACATGTTCTCTTTGAATTACAGGGTGTTTAGGGTGTGTTGCAGTGACTTTGAAGAGTCCTTCGTATGGCGAACTGAGGGGTGGTTGTGTTTCATCACATCTCACAAACACATGGTGGCGGGAAAACGGGTCCATTGGCATGCATACGTGAGTACCCCGGCCAAGGTTGTCCTTATCAGTACGAAGACTAATAGAATCGCCAGGTAATCTCCAAATACCACTTCTACAGCACCAGTTTCTATTGATGTATATGGGATCAAAGAAGTCCGTCGACTGAATGGAACGTCAGCCGTTCCACCGTCAACGATCGGTTTATTTATCCACGCAGATTGAAACATATGGTGGTCAAGATCATTTCTAAAGGGCAAGACCTTAGCAGCGTCTTTGAAGTGTGATTCTATATTTGTACTCACCTTCCAAATCACCGTTAACAAATACATCTTTCAGTAGTCGTAGTTGATACGTTCCGCCTTTGTTAGTTAAGCTGGTGTTAAGTGCAGCCTGGACAGTCTAAAGAGTCTGCGAATAGTGTGGCTAGCGCTCAGGTCCATCAGCATTGGTGGCCACACAGCAATCATGAGCACCACTTCTAATTAGAGCCAACTGGAAGTGATCCTGAATCCGTGCAAGCAACCTAATTAGTTTCCTAGGGACATTCGAATACCAAGCACTATCACTGGTAGGAATTCTGTCCGGTAAATGAAGTTACAGTGGGCTGTCAATGCAGCCTACATCTATGGATGAAAGCGTTCTATCAGTCCGTTAGCTTGAGGGTGGTATGCTGTTGATGGGATCCCGTATAACCTGAGTAGCTCAGACAAGTTTTCGGAAAGGCCTGGATTTAATCGTCCTTATCTGTAAGTTGTTATTGTCATAGGCGACCAGAACATGGCTACCCGGTGTCGAAGAGAGGCTTTCACTGCCGTTTCCGCCATATTAATAATAATAATGGCTTTATTCCAAACAGTATTTGTGGTACAGGTATGGAATTTTCAGCGTTCATTACAATATTGCATCTAATTACCTCATAAATTTTATAAGGATTTAGAAATATAAAGCAACAACAACAAAAAGAAAAAGAGAAATAAAAGAGAAAAAATAGAACAGCATTGCATTCACATATTTAAACAATGCACCACAGGATATGATATATAAAATTAGTCTGTAATAGAATATATGAGCAACAATATAATAGTAACAAAGAAAGGAGAACAAAAGCTAATGGGAACTATTTGTTAGAGTGCCGCAGTAAATTGATCATGTCATGCCTAACAGTTTTCTCATCACATAACAGCTGTGCCAGATAGGGTATTGTGGAGTTTTTATGCTTGGTAGTCCTGGCATATAGCTTCCTATAGTTGCTTCTAGTTCTACCAGATGAAATGCAAGGAGAGAGCTGCGTATGGAGAGGGTGTTCGGGGTCTGACAATATAGAATTTGCTAGTTTCTTACATGACATTATATGTCTATCCACAATTGTGTTAACCAGTTGGTTTAACGAAATCCCACTTGCCCTACTAACAGCTTTTAGTGCCCTATGCAGCGAAGCAAAGTCTTTCTTAAGTAGTCCAGG